AATGTATAAGTGTCATTAGAAATCAATTAAAAAATGTGCAGAGATGTCTCACAGTATAATATCTCCTGAAGCGACTTTAGTGCAGAGAAAGAATATCGCCAACGTTTGAGTGTTTTGCAGACTTCATCCACAAGTGGCTTGGTAATATCCTGCAGGTCCAATGGATTAAATAAAGCAGTCACAGTCTAGAAGGGCAACAGGAATAAATCCCAGGTTGAAACAAATAATTATGACTAGTCTACCAAAAGAACAATTTAGTCGTGAGAAGCACTCACCTGACGATAACCTGATATTAACTTTAACGTGAAACTCTCGTAACACCTAGAGATACCAGAGTTATATTCCGTCTATAAGGATTCAGTGTTAATACAGAGAGACTTTAAGAAAGAAATATCAGTTTACTTGCCAGTTTTCCAATAACTGAGAAGGGATCTCCCGAAAGTCAGGGTCAACACGTAGGCCCGAGAATCTAGCAAATGAAGCACGATTGCAGATATGTTGGACCTATTTACCAATGATTAGCAAGGAATATCAGCTCATAACATCCCCTGATATATACCAACAGAATTTATTCAGCTGTTCCACGTAACCAATTTCATTCACCTACCACATGGCCAAACTCATGAAAAAGATTAACCACCTCAGAGAATCCCAATGGCACAGATTCACCACTACCATCCTTTGCAAACTGTGCAATAAGCAACGCCACAGGAATCTGGAGACAGAAACAAAATAAATGCCAAAATACGAATACTAAAATGTTAAAATACATCCACATGAGATCATATTATCGATTTATATTTTGAGTTGCATGATATTTCCACATAAAGGTCCGACATGGATGTAGGATTTTCACCTGACATGCACCATTGGAGAACAGTGCGTTATTCTGAAGAGCCATCACACAGCTGTGATTACATTTTCCTTCCCTGTCCAACAAAATTATTCTCACAACTCAAAAATGAAATGGAGGCTTTAAAAGTAAATAGGAGATTGAAGTAAGGTTGCTAATGGACCTTGTAAACATGTCAAGATAGAAATATCCCAAAAGCTTTCCAGATCCGGAGTCAAAGACGGCAAAAGCTCGAACATCATGATACCAGACATCAACTTCTGTAACCTCCTCAATTTTTATTCCTGCATGCCGAAATCATTAAGGTGGCCAGCAAGCTATGACGAGGATGAAATAAATGGATAGTAAATATTCTCAAGCCACAGAAGCAAAGCAGAAATTTATTAAGACCCCAAAAGATTTTAGAGTACAGACATAAACTCACCAAAAAGGTCCTGACATATTTTAAATATCCCGGAAAGGACCAAACTGACAGGAAAATATTGCCGGATATCTCCAAAATCAAGATCAAACTGCAACTCCTCTACCCTCTTTATGTAATATAAAAGATCTTCTACGCCAAATGGAATCTCCCCTTCTTCTTTCCTCTGATATTAAAACCCAGCACGTTAAGTGTGAGAAAGGCATCACCTATAATTAGTTGATTACATAATACCAACATTATATTACCTTCAAGTCTTTCAAAATGGAAAACTCTCTAATAGCCAAGTCAGTTAAACTGGAAGAGATGTCCTCCAGGAACCTAATCACCTGGCATACGAAGGGCGTCAGTACAAACGAGTAATGAAGAATGCTAAACTAATCACTTAAGGGTTCTTTCACAGACCCTCATTGATGTCTTCGACATTCTGCGATCAAGAGCATAATCTGCGAAATGTGAATAACCAAGGACGCGAGCTAATCTATGGCGTGAATGAACCTACAGATACGAGAATATAAAATGTCAACTGATTTAAGTGTGCTGCAGGCTTCTGTCAAGGTTTAGAATAGACACACAAGTACCAATCTTTGTAACACCGGAATATTGGTATCTCCACATCTCTTTCCATATGCCATAGCTACCGTCTTCCTTGTCTTGGCTATCTGCAAAGTTTAAAACAAGAGCCAAAACTTGATCAAATACGAATTTTAATGCGTTGGCCTGGACACATAAAGAGAGATGTTGAAATTACTCCTGGTTATTAAAAAAGTCAGTATCAAGAACTGGCAATTAACTGCAACCTTTTCTGTGGCAAGGCAATCAAAAAGGACCATGTGAATTATTACCTTACACAACTCTAGAATAGCTGCGACGTTACGACTTCCCAAGGTGAGCTTAAATTCTTTATTTTGAGTTTTTTCCAAACTCTGCAGGAGAAAATGCAGAAATGAGAAATAGTTCAGAAAAAGTCATGTCCGAAACAGACAATATCACGATTTGCTTATGTGACAGAGTAAGCAAATAAAATTAAGAATAAACACCTGAAGAAATTCTAGAGGCAAACCAGCAAGCTCATCCTCAGTAAAAAAGAGACAAGAACTATCTTCATTTAAATTCCGAATGTATCGCAAGCTAAGCTCATCAATTTCATTTGTTAGTCTCTCAACTTCCTCTCTTTTTATTGCAGTAAGGTTCAGACCATTGTCCTCAAAGTCTCTAACCTGTCACTGATAAAACAGAAATCAATAATTTGGTTCAATTCACACAGATTAGTAAAGTGAGCAGAAGTCTGCAAGCAACTCTTGCAAATGTGCTATGAAAAGGAAGCTCATTATTCCAACTGCTTTCTTCTAGAGTAACTAAATGAAGCTCATGAATGCAAAAATTCTCTAGTCCAACTCTTAAAGAGTGCTATTTGATAGTCCGTGAGGATACGAATACCTTAAAAGACTTGTTCTATACGTAGAAAAAAGAAGTAATGATCTCATTCACAAGTGGCCATGTTCTAAAAACAATTTGAGGCTGGTCAATCACTTTCCATAGCACAAGTAAAGAAAATCAATTAAATATCAATAGTACAAAGTCATGGACCAACAAATTCTAGAATTGTGATGGAGAAATTAGAAATGATAACAACTATGCTAAGGAAGATAGATGAACTAAATAATCTCAGTAGTTAGAATGTGTTTATGGTTAAGGCACTACATTGCATTAGCAGAAGGAATGTGATATAGTAATGTCTGAGACAGTGAAAAACCTTAAGAGCAATATATAAGAGAAGCACATGATTAAATTTTCCTTACCAGACACTGTAGGTAGCATTTAGCTTCAGGAGCAATCGATTCTCCCTTTGCAGCATAAATTTTGATAATCCGGTAAACATCTTCACGTTTTCTGATGCGCTTGCACAAAGACATGATCTTCAATCTCATATAAAGTGAGATCAGAAATTCAAAAAAAGCATTACATGCTCATCAGAATCCAATTTCACCTGCAGGAGAGAATATGAGCGTCGATTTTCTGCTCAGCTTCAGCACTAGCTTTACGAACATTATCGTGAGGCGATAACATCTTAGGAAACACACAACATTGTATAAGCGAGAGTTGTCTAGCTTCCAATTCAGCCAACGGCAATACAACATTCTCATAAGAGAGCTACACAAGCATTAACAACAATACAATCAAGTCAGAGATATTTTTCCATATCAATGTGGCTTTTCTCAACTTAATCAAGTGATTTTCAAATACCTTATCTAGAGAAACCAAAGCAACAGCATCATGAACTCGTGTAGACTTGTGTATAATTTCATCAGCTAAATCGAGAATCTCCTTCGCAGATAGGTTCACACAAACAGTATCACAACCAGGAAGACCTAAATTTCCAATGAATGCGAACATTGTGAAATTTGAATTCGTAAATTGCGGAACTAAGCCAAGAGAAAGAGAAAGTGAAAGGAAGACGAGAGAGAGAGAGAGTGAGTGCCTTTCTTCTTGGATTTTTGCTTGTGAGACTTGAAAGCGAAGATGGCGAAACTGACGGCGAGTCCGAGCAAACCCGCCGCTCCGGTGAAGGTTACAACGTTGAGCTTCTTCTTAGGATTAGATCCTTCGATTTTCTTGTCGTTTCCTTCGTTTTCCGTCATTTTTCCTCTGCTATTTTCTCGAGAAAGGAAAAAAAAGAGAGACTGGGAGGGAAAAGCCTCTCGCTCGCTGATGGACCAAAGGCAGAAAGTGAGACCGAGACACGGACGGAAAAAATCTATTTCCTTAATTCTAACTCTTTTTTTTAATTAGTTTCCATGGTACTATAGAAATTGAATACCATGCAAAATATATAAATTCTAGTGGTGAAAATATGGCAATATATTTGTACCGGTAATAAAGAATGAGAAAAACAAAAGTATTAAAAAAAGCGTTAAATGTTAAGCAGGCGGTGATTCAGTGTTTTACGTCTAAAACGTTTAATCGGAGCTGAGACGATTTTAGGCGTTTTAAAAAAATGTATAATATATCTTATTTTCTTATAGATAATGATATTGCTAATATCATTTTGCAAAGTAAATTATATTCGTTATTCCGTATATTTTCGGTTTTGCTTACATTAATTTTATCACTCAATTCTTATACTTTAATAATTTACCATCATTTGTTTCCTTATTTTTAATCTATATTTTTACCTAATTTTTATATATTTTAAACTAAATTAAGTATAAATTGAATTTTACTATTAATGCATAATGTTTTTATTACGATCAAATGCAGTAATGAAATTAAAAATATTATATATATTTTTTGTAATTTTTCATTGTACATAATTATATATATAGAGATTAATTGTTGATAAATAAATTTTTTAATTTAGATGCATGAGCCTTAAGAGCATCTCCAATGCCCAACTCTATAATTTCCTCTATTTTAGAGGAATTATATTTTAGAGGAGATTTTGCTTCAATGTATCCCTCTAAAATAGAGTTTAATCTAAAATAGAGGAGAGAGACAATGGATTACTCTATAAATCTATTCTAAAATAGAGTTCCTTTAAAATAGGGGAAATTATAGAGTTGGGCATTGGAGATGGAGTAAAGGTTTTCAAATAGTTTTCTCTCTTTTCTACTTTCAAGTCAAAGAAAGAAGTTCAGATAATTGGATCATGAGCACAAATGAGATCTCAAAGGCCCATATAAAAAGCCCATTAAGTTATCGAACGCATATCTTCATCAATCCGTTGAAGACAATGCAATTGCAAACCCTTAGACAAAACTCTCGAAGCTTGGATCCCGTTTTGCAGCCATGGCTCCGAAATCGAAAGAAAAATCCAAAACATCAACTTCACAACCTCCTCTAGCAATCGAAGATCTCTTCAGTTCCCTCAATGGTCATATCCAGGGATCTGAATTTGAAGAAGCCGTCAAGGTCGCAGATAAAGGTTTTCAAAATTCTTACCTCCTTCTACAATTCTTGTTGAATGAAATTGATTTGGTGAAATTGAATCCGTGATTTTGTTTACAGTTTTGTCGATTTTACCTACTGATGAGGATGCGATCCGATGCAAAGTTGTGGCTCTGATAAAAGACGATAAGATCGATGGTGCTCTCTCCGTCATTAGCTCGTTCCAGAAGCTTCCAATCGATCTAGGGTTTCAAAATGTATAGTAATTTTGCATCAATCTAAACTACATTTGATCTGAATTTGATAAGGTTTTGTAATTTTTTTGGAAATTGCTAAGATTTTGTAAGTTTTTTGGGGTCTAATGGATGTTTCTCTTATTAGGCGTATTGTTTATACCGTCTAAACAAGTTAGATGAGGCGTTGGTGTGTTTAAAAGGTCTCGAGAGAGATTCAGATACTTTGCTTTTGGAGTCTCAGATTTTGTACCGTTTGGGGAAAGCAGATGCTTGTGTGGATGTGTGTCAGAAACTGAGCAAGTCGGAGATTGAGTCCTTAGAGATCAATTTAGTCGCGGCGTTGATTACAGCTGGAAAAGCTTCTCAGGTGCCAAAAGCATTGGAGGGTTTGAAGATCAAACCAACTAGTACTTATGACTTGGCTTATAATACTGCTTGCTCTTTGATTGAAAACAATAACTATGCCGATGCTGAACAACTTTTGCTCACTGCCAAGAGGTATATAATCTCTCTTTTTCTTCCGGAGAAATTTGAGCATATTTATGTGGCCGTTGTTCCCACTAGTCTTTCTTAAGAGATTCCTTTCGACACTCCTCTAGCATTAATGCAATTATATTTGTGTTTTAAGTCTAGCTTGGGATCGGTGATTTGGTAAAATAGTTGTTAACACTGAATTTTACTGTTTGATCTCAATTCTTTCTTGCTTTTGATAATCACATCAATATAGTATTTAGGGATAGATAGATGATTTCTTTTTTCTGTATCTTTATCAACACTTCAAGTATATTGATCATTTGACTACTGATTTTCCGAGTCTTGTACAATGTACTCATACTGTTGCTATGAAACAGAATTGGTCAGGAAACCCTCACTGAAGATGACTGTTCTGATGAGTATATCGAGACTGAGCTGGCCCCAATTTCTGTTCAATTAGCATATGTTCAACAGGTACTTTTTTATACTGCTTATCTTCTCTTTAACATCTTGTCAAGATATCTTCCAGTTCCTCATAACAGTTATTTTCTTTGTCAGGTCCTTGGGCAAACTCAAGAATCCACTAGCTCTTATGTAGATATCATTAAACGAAATCTGGCTGATGAACCTTCACTTGCTGTTGCTGTGAACAACCTTGTTGCCTCGAAAGGTTCCAAAGATATTTCTGATGGCTTGAGGAAGTTTGATCGGCTGAAAGAAAAAGACTCCCAAAATTTTCAGCTTTCTCAAGAACTCGATGCAAAGCTTTCACAGAAAAATAAGGAGGCTATATATGCCAATCGCGTCCTTCTACTCCTCCATGCAAATAAAATGGATCAGGTCCTTAAAACTTGACATCTTGGTTATTCCTCTTTCGTTTCTTCTTTGCATACACTGCTTAACCAGTTAAGAAATTTTTTTTACCTCAGGCACGAGAACTTTCTGCTGCACTGCCGGGTATGTTTCCTGAGAGTGTTATTCCTACATTGCTTCAAGCTGCTGTTTTGGTGAGAGAAAACAAGGCTGCCAAAGCTGAAGAACTTCTGGGACAGTGTGCCGAAAAATTTCCGGAAAAGTCTAAGTTGGTTCTCTTGGCCAGGGCACAAATTGCTGCGTCTGCCAGTCATCCTCATGTAGCAGCAGAGTCCCTGTCCAAAATACCTGATATTCAGCATTTGCCTGCAACTGTTGCCACCATTGTCGCCCTCAAAGAGCGTGCTGGGGACAATGATGGTGCTGCTGCTGTTCTTGACTCAGCAATTAAATGGTGGTCGAATTCGATGACTGAGAGCAATAAGCTTAGTGTAATGATGCCGGAGGCTGCTGCCTTCAAGCTCAGGCATGGTCAAGAAGAGGAGGCTTCACGGCTATACGAGGAGATTGTGAAAAACCATAATAGCACAGATGCTCTGGTTGGTCTTGTGACTACACTTGCTCGTGTCAATGTCGAAAAAGCAGAAACTTATGAGAAACAGCTTAAACCCTTACCAGGTTTGAAGGCTGTTGATGTGGATAACCTAGAAAAGACCTCTGGTGCAAAACCCATTGAAGGCGCTGCTGCTTCATCGAGTCAGGAAGAAGTGAAGAAAGAGAAGGCGAAGAGGAAGAGGAAGAGAAAGCCAAAGTATCCCAAAGGATTCGATCCAGCTAACCCAGGTCCACCTCCAGACCCTGAAAGGTGGCTTCCCAGAAGGGAAAGGTCAAGTTACAGACCCAAGAGGAAGGACAAGCGAGCAGCTCAAATCCGTGGCTCGCAGGGTGCGGTGACGAAGGATAAGCAAGAAGCAGCTCCTTCAACTTCAAAGTCAAACCAAGCGGCCAGTTCTAAAGCCAATGCAGCTGCGCCTTCTTCAAAGGCCTCGAAAAAGAAGTCTAGAAGATGAGTGAAACAACCCTTTAAGATTGTTTCATCTGTTCTGAGAAAACAAAAACAAAGAGTACTTGGCCCCAAACTTTCCATTGTTCTTTTTTTTTTTGGATTGATCAAGTTTTAGTTGTCTTGACCCATTTAAGATTTTGGTTCATTTCTCGTTTGCGTGTCCTGAATTCGCATTGCTTTGATGATCGTTAAATTGGTTAATAGCCTTGTTTGAAAAATCGCTAGGCGCTAGTCGGGCGCTCGGCATGGGCCTAGCGATTAATCGGAAAATCGGATTAAAATCGGGGATTAATCGGGGATTAGTTTTAAGGTTATATTAATATTTTTAAAACATATTAATCCAATATTATTTTTAAAATTGCAGTAAACACATAAAAATGTATTTTTGAGACAAATATTTATGATTTTTATTAAAATATGAACATAAATTATTGTAAAACATTACAAACTCCCAATTCAAATGATTGAATAACAAAAATAAAAAGTTTTTTTATACTAGCAATCTAAAAATAATCGGGGTATGTAAGATTAGGCGGGGAATAATCGGATTAGGCGGGGAATAATCGGATTAGGCGGAGAGTAATCGGGTGACTGATTTCTTTAAGGGATTAGTCATTAATCGAGGCGGATAGGGTGGGCCTAACGATTAAGCGGGGAATAATCGGGTCTAGGCGGGGATTTTTAGAACAGGGGTTAATAGTAATACCCGAAAACTAAAGAGAGATGGAGAAGAGAACTTGCGGAAGAATGGATTAATTACAAAGAATAATAACAAGAATCAAATGCAAATGTAATAAAACATCTCTTCACCTATCACTTTTCAGATTTCTTGCGGAGCTCTTTCATCCATTTGAACCCAAGTAATGTCTTCCCAAGACTGCTTTTGCTTCCATCTTCTTCCTTCTTCTTCTTGTTCTTCTTTTTGCTCTCATCCTCTTTCGCCGAACTCGGAAGAGGGTCAGGGTTATTGTAATCCCATTGATCAGCCCACGACGGCCCCGAATCCATCTTCTTCTTTTCTTGCAGATGTTTAAAAATCAAACAACCATTAACTTAAGAGGAACATCTTAAATTATCTATTTGTAATTTAGTTCTTCTTGTTCATTGTCCTTTGTTTGAATCTATTAGTTATCAGTTTTTCTCATGTATTTTGGTAACCAACTCCTCTATTTCGGCATTCCTCTCTGTTTTTGGTCATCTGCTAGGTTGGCACAAAGAATCAATATTTTGTCTTTGGTCTAACTGTCTTCACCTATTTTGGGCTTTTTGCAATGAAAAAATTTCATATCCAATTAATTACAGGCGGATAGCGCCGCTAATCTCCAGATAGTCTAGAAATCTGATTAAAGAGTGTTGCATCATTTAAGCAGTTTCATAGTACAACAATGTGATCTAATAAGATGAATCATCATTCTCCTATTCATCTAAAAGAACTCGACATGATCAGCGATTTCTCTGCATACTAGTTTTGATTCCGCAGCCAAATTTATGCTTTTAGCTATGGCAAGCTTGGTTCGCTTATGTGTAGATGTTGGCTCATACTTTTTCACCTCCTCACCCTCTTTCCCTAACAACAAAGCCTCCCTTGCAGGAATCACACTCTCCCACCAGAACTCCCTTAATACATCATGAATGATTCTCCAATAGCTTCGGTCTCTCATCACACGAAAGACCGTGCTTCCGTTTCGTGTCCAGCAATATAAGTTGACCCATTCCCGGTCCATTATCTCCATTTGACCCTGCAGCTGAGGCATGTAATAGTAGGGCACTTTTTTCCAGGGTAATACAGTTTCGGTTTTCCCTTTGTTATATGGACATTTCACTTCTAGAATACCAAAGCAATCAAGAATTCCATCCGGGGAAGCACCAAGCCAGTGAAACTGCTCGTTGGAGTGAATAGCAAATCCCATTGTCCCGACCTCACAACCCATTATTCGTTTGTACCTTTCTATCGCAGCTGATTCCATCTGTACACCCCAGTTCATAGCAAACCGTGCAGACTCCTCAACGACTCGCGAGTCTGAGTCATATACCTTTTCATGCCAGAGCTCGGCACGCCGGGTTCCTTTCCAAAAACCAAGCGCTGTACTGAATGTACTTGTGGTTAACTTGTCTTTCCGTAAAGCAAACCATTCTTCTGATTTCTGAGGGATATCAGATGGGGAGAGAAGGCTTGACACAATTACTGAAGAACGGGGATGAGCAAATGGTGAAGCGGTTTGAGTGATGACTGATAAGGCAGTAGAAGAAAACCTCTTTCTCGAAGAAACTGAACCGCTTGACTTGGGAAGATGAGTATGGAACCCAGAAATTGAGCAAGTCCTCATAGCTGAAAGAATCATGCTGTTGTAAGCAACTTTATTCGGCTTCAAGACTCTACATAAACCACAGACTGTTACAAAGGTTAGAGGAATCATCTTGCAAACAAACCTATACTCAAGATTATGGCCTACTTATCAATAAAACAAATGTTTCAAATCAGTGACACAACCCTAGAAACCCAGAACAAACCTAAAATAAGATGAAAAAAACAATCTTTGAACTTCAAAAGCATCAACAAGATTTAGAAACAAGACAACACATACAAAAGGAACAAAATTTCCGATGAAATCGACTCAACCCAGATAAGGGACAAGCAGCGAACTGATTATGCATGTTAAGCCTGTGATTAACGTTTCAGTTTTTTTCCCGTTAAACCCATGAATGAGTTCATCTACAAAAGGGGAACTTGATTTCTCCATAGGCACTGGTTCTTCAACCCTCCTTAAGAATCCATTTATCGGCAATTAGAACAAAAAATTCAAGCACACAAGGTGTTCGATGATATTACCAGAACCACACTTCGGGTAGAGAACTCCTCCATTCCGGGCCGAAGAAGCTGAAATAGAAGAAATGGATTCAGTAGACGATACTTGAACTAGCCTCATCATCATCAACCACAAATCACATTCGAAAAGACCAGACAGGTTGTTGTTCTTTCTAGGCCGGTTTTAAAAGCGATAAGAGATGAAGACAAGTAGAAAACTGTTTTTGAGAGTTTTTAATTGATTTATAACGATGTCGTTTTAGTTCTTCAAAGTGGTTATAAAGTGCTAAGGCCCATACTCTGGTTTGTGAAGCCCAATCACAATATCTTATTGGACTTTTTTTTTTTGGTTGGGTCTCTTATGGGACTTTGATTTCTTTACAAAAGACTTCAACATGCATATTATTTTTTTCTAAAGATCATCTCCAATGGGGAGTTCTCTCCATAGGACTCTCTTCAATTTTTTATTATAATTTTTTTGAAAATGTGAGATGAGAACTTTTGTTTTTTTTTTTAATTTTTGATAGTCCAATAATAGGTTCTCTAGTGAGGTTCTCTTAGAAAAAAAAAATATTAAATATATTATTTCATAAAATTTAATAATTATTGCAATTCATAAAAATATTAAACATACATTATTTCAACATTTTTAAAAAATGTACAAAAACAAAACCGGAATAACGATTAGTTGTACTGTTGGTTGTTGCGAAATTTTTGTCGTATACATGTATCCGAAATTTAATACTAAAGATAATTTGAGCTAAAAATAACCAAAACTGTGGTGGTTTTTTTATTTTTGGCTCATTACTGCTCAAGCTTTGCCATTGGCTGCTGGTGGGTTAAGCTCATCCCAAGCTTGTCTTCACTCCCAAGCTCAAGTGGTCTTCAATCCCAAACAACTAAGTACGGAGCATATGCTTCATATTTAGCTATGCTATTCATATCCGTAAATTTCAATTGTTCCACTCAATCATGAGTCTTAAAAGGGAATCAGAATAAGAAGAAATTACCTTGATGCACCAACCAGCCCACATGTCGTCGTAGCTACCAATAGGCTGACCATCACCCATGAGACCAAAGTACATAGCTGGGCCAATCAAATCTACCCCTAAAATAATAAGCCGTATCAATTCCATCATCTGGTTCAGTGTCTCTTAGACTTTGACTCGATTTTGGATAGCATGTATCCAGAGATCTTGTTCACAAGAGTATGGAACTAAGAACAGGATATGACTCTTCATTGAGACAAACTGCGCATAACAAGGTGACATATCAGTATCGAATGAATATGTTAACTTATATAGAACCAATATTCCATAAGAGAATGCATAAAATGTAGAAGCACCAAACGTCACTTTTTCCATCGATGGACTGCTGAATTCAATAAAAAGCACAAACTCTCACCCAAACGTTTCCTCTATCTTCTCATTCAATCTCTCTATTATTACTCAACACAACAAAGATCATCACTTTGACTCTCACTTATCATTGACACATATAAGCAAAAACAGAGTAAAACAAAAGTGGAATCTTTGAGTTTAAAAGATTGACCTCTAATGGAGACGAAAGGGATGATGAGATGATCATGTGAGGAGAAGATCCATGGCTATCGGGGATTTGAAGAGACGCTTGGTGAATCAGGATAAGAGCCATCGCGAAGAGCAATCAACGGATCAATGAAATCTCCAGTGCATCGCAACCGGCGGAGCCGAGAAAGAGAGAGAGTCGAGAAAGAATTTCGTAGGAGAGAGACAGAACAAGGGCTTTTTCTTTCTTTTTTTTTTTTGTTAAAAATCGTTACCCAATTTGACACGTATGCGTCTCTCTCTAATTCTCAAATCTCTCTAGAGAGAGACGGTTCTTTAATTATTTAGGATTATTGATTTATTTTAATTGTACTTAAATCTAGAGAAACCCACAAATTTAATGAGAGAACCTCCCATTGGAGGTGCTCTTAGAGCATCTCTATCGGGTAATACTCTTGTTGGTATCTCAAAAAATAAATTATTATTTTAATTATATAATTGATTTTAGTTGATTTTTAATAACTAAACTAATAATCGATTGACATGTGACAATTTTGTTTGAGAAACGTTTCTCATAGTATCTCAATCCAGATACGCATCTTCTCTTCTCTCTTACATTTTACTTTTTACTTATTATTTTAATATTAAATTTCTACTCTAGAAACGCCGATGGAGATGGAGATGGTCTTAAACTCCAATTCAAAGATTGTTACAAACTTACAATGGTAAGGAAAGAAATATACAGCGGTGAAATGTATTATCACGAACGTGGCTAACTAGTATAAGAGTGGAATGGTGGAACAAACAAAACAATGAAACAGTGAACTGAATAACATTTTAACATTTTTTAAGGATATTTAACAAATTCTTAGATGAATCAAAATGTTTCACTTTGAAACTCAAAAACATTGAGATGTAGGTTTCGAATGGAGGACGTACCGAACAATTACCGAAAAAGTATATAGTGTAGTTCTAATAGTAACGAAAATATATACATACATACATTGTTAGTATTTTAATTATAAACACAATTTAAAATGATTAAGGGTCTATGTATAACTCTTGTCCACCTTTCCTAACTCCTTTTGTAAACAATGATATTGATCACAAAACTTAATAAAGTTTTTAAAAGGAAAAAAATGTATATACTAATATTAATATTTCCTTATTATACTTAACTTTTTTTGTTATGTATTCAAAACTTATTTTCATTTACTATAAGTACCAATAGATATAAATTGATTTGAATTAAATGAGAATTTTCAAAACACTTTAATGTTTCAGAAAAAAAAATTGTTGATGGAGACACCTTAAATAGAGAGAACTCCATAATTATATATATATATATATATATATATTGTTAATAAATAAAATTTTAACCAAATATAAATTTAGATGCATGAGCTTTCAAAAAGTTTTATCTCTTTATCGACTTTCAAATAAAAGAAGTCAAGATAATTGGATCATGAGCATAAATGAGATCTCAAAGGCTCATATAAATAGAGTTTTGTACCCAAAAAAAAACCTCAAAATCACTAATTTTTGTAATTTTATCCTTCACCTAAAAAAAATACAAATTTATCCTACGAAGTCAAAAATAATACGTATATTGTAAACGTTTTCATTGTCGAATATATTAGGTTTTTAAAATTCTAAAGGTAAAGTTCAACTCTTCACCGTGAGAGCTTCAATTTGTCATATTATTCATCAAAGATTTACATAATTGCGATAAAAGATTATATTATGTATTGTTTTTTTAGGTAGAGGATAAAGTTAATATTACTTAATATGATTAATGCATATTTTTAGGTTGAGGATAAATTTGAAAAAACTGGCTAGTGTTTTTTTTTTCCATATAAATAGCCCGTAAGTTGTATTAGGAATTCCAGTAAAAAATCTACCCGTTTTCTTCTCCGATGTTTCGTGTCATGAGAAAACTTCATGCAGCCATGGCTCCCAAACCCAAAGAAAACCCTAAAACCTCGAATCCAGCAATCGAAGATCTCTTCTCTTCCCTCAATAAACATATCAAGGGATCACATATCCAGCGATCTGAATTTGAACAAGTCGTCAAGGTCGCTGATCAAGGTTTTCACAATTCTTACCTTCCTTGTACAATTCTCGTTGATTTTGATTTGTTGAAATGGAAATCCGTGGTTCTGTTTCAGTTTTGTCGATTTTACCTTCCGATGAGGATGCAATCCGATGCAAAGTTGTGGCTCTAATCGAAGCAAAAAAGTTCAATGATGCTCTCTCCGTTATTAACTTGTTCCAGAAGCTTCCAATGGATCTAGGGTTTCAAAAGGTAAGACAAATTTGATCTGAATTTGCTAAGATTTTGTAAGCTTTTTGGGTTCTAATGGATGCTTCGCTCAATAGGCATATTGTTTATACCGTCTAAAGAAGTTTGATGAGGCCTTTGTGAGTTTAAAAGGTCTCGAGAGAGATTCAAAGACTTTGCTTTTGGAGGCTCATATTTTGAACCGTTTGGGGAAAGTAGATGCTTGTATCAGAAACTAAGCAAGTCTAAGATTAAGTGGTTAGAGGTTAATCTAGTCGCGGCGTTGATAGCAGCTGGAAAAGCTTCTCAAGTGCTAAAAGCATTGGAGAGTTTGAAGATCAAACCAACGACTACTTATCAATTGGCTTATAATACTGCTTGCTCTTTGATCGAAAACAATGACTATGCTGATGTTGAACAACTTTTGCTCACTGCCAGGAGTTATCTAACCTCTCATTTGACTGTTGATTTTCCAAGTCTTGTACAATGTACTTACTCATACCTGATAAAAATGTACTGTTGCTTTGAGACAGAATTTGTCAGGAAACTCTCACTGACGATAAATCTTCTGATCTGGCCTCAATTGCTGTTCAACTAGCATATGTTCAACAGGTACTTTTTTATACTGCTTATCTTTTCTTTAACATCGTGTCAAGATATCTTCCAGTTCTTAGTAACATAGTTTTTTTTTTTCTTTTAAGGTTCTTGGACAAACTCAAGAATCCACCAGCTCTTATGTAGACATTATAAAACGTAATCTGGGTGATGAACTTACTATTGCTGTTGCTGTGAACAACCTTGTTGCCTCGAAAGGTTCCAAAGATATTTCTGATGGCTTGAGGAAGTTTGATCGGCTGAAAGAAAAAGACTCCCAAAATTTTCAGCTTTCTCAAGACCTCGATGCAAAGCTTTCACAGAAAAATAAGGAGGCTATATATGCCAATCGCGTCCTTCTACTCCTCCATGCAAATAAAATCGCACAAAGTTACCTCAGGCACGAGAACTTTGTGCTGCACTGCCCGGTATGTTTCCTGAGAGTGTTGTTCCTACATTGCTTCAAGCTGCTGTTTTGGTGAGAGAAAACAAGGCTGCCAAAGCTGAACAACTTCTGGGACAGTGTGCCGAAAAATTCCCGGAAAAGTCTAAGTTGGTTCTCTTGGCCAGGGCACAAATTGCTGCTTCTGCCAGTCATCCTCATGTAGCAGCAGAGTCCCTGTCCAAAATACCTGATATTCAGCATTTGCCTGCAACTGTTGCCACCATTGTCGCCCTCAAAGAGCGTGCTGGGGACAATGATGGTGCTGCTGCTGTTCTTGATTCAGCAATTAAATGGTGGTCGAATTCGATGACTGAGAGCAATAAGCTTAGTGTATTGATGCCGGAGGCTGCTGCCTTCAAGCTCAGGCATGGTCAAGAAGAGGAGGCTTCACGGCTATATGAGGAGATTGTAAAAAAACAGAGTAGCATAGATGCTCTGGTTGGTCTTGTGACTACACTTGCTCATGTCAATGTTGAGAGAGCAGAAACTTATGAGAAACAGCTTAAGCCCCTACCAGGTTTGAAGGCTGTTGATGTGGATAACCTAGAAAAGACCTCTGGTGCAAAACCCATTCAAGGGTCTGCTGCTTCATCGAGTCAGGAAGAAGTGAAGAAAGAGAAGGCGAAGAGGAAGAGAAAGCCAAAGTATCCCAAAGGATTCGATCAGGCAAACCCAGGTCCACCCCCGGACCCTGAGAGATGGCTTCCCAGAAGGGAAAGGTCAAGTTACAGACCCAAGAGAAAGGACAAGCGAGCCGCTCAAATCCGTGGCTCGCAGGGTGCGGTGACGAAGGTTAAACAAGAAGCAGCTCCTTCAACTTCAAAGTCAAACCAAGCAGCCAGTTCTAAAGCCAATGCAGCTGCGCCTTCTTCCTCTAAGGCCTCAAAAAAGAAGTCTAGAAGATGAGCGAAACAACCTTTAAGATTGTTTCATATGACTAGTTAGTATAATGATTGGAATGGTGGGACAAACAAAGCAATGAAACAGTTAATAACATTTATCGTTTTAAGGATATTAACAAAAATTTAGATGATTCAAGTTGTTTCACGTCTGAACTCAAAAACATTTATTTCTGGTTTGTGTGCACACTCGCTATCGAAAAGGTCTAGTGATGATTTTATACAAACCAAGCAACAGGGGCAACAAAAGAAAGAAGGTGCAAAAACGAAGGACACCACTAATGTTTTATTCCTCAATTCATCCATGACCAGGACAAATCAATTAGTAATCTTCAACATCATAATCATTTCAATGATGTTTAAGTGATTGTTTCATATAAACCAAACAGCAAAGGAAACATGGTGTAAAAACGAAGCACACCAATAGTGTTAATTTTTAATTTTCACTTTCCTTCATTGAAATCAGTACTTGGGGTCGGTGAAGAAGCCATTAATAGAAGGCATTATCTGAGGAGCTTTGTTGCGCACAAACTTCCTCAGACTGTGCTCCGCATACCTCTCTCCTTTTGTGTGGTTCTCAAGGATACCAGCCGTCCGATTCTCCTTTGTCACCCTGATACATACCAGTTTCATCGGTATACCTCGGCTCGGGCCTGATCCATCTTGAAGAAGCTCTTTCTGAATGAATAAGCTGCAAAAAATGAGAAAGCGTGACGAAGAAACGACGATGAAAATCACTAATACAACTCGCTGCCTTAAATCTTCAAGCTCAGTGATCATTGTCTGTTTCATTTTTTTCAGTGTTTTTAAAGCATTGTTGTATTAAAGACTGACCAAAGTTTTTAAAGAACAATCTCTGCTGAATTGTGGGTTTCTCGTATTGGAATTTCCACTTTGTAGTTGTGATTTATCTCATCATACTTTGCGAGGCCATGAAAACGAAAATAACAAAACAAACATTGAAAATGTTCTGATTTTGTAACATGTTATAAATAATAGTCTTTCAAAGGATTCTAGAAACAAAAACTAGTAGAGAAAAAAAAAAAGGAGAAAAAAAAAAAAAAGAAACAAAAACTAGTCACACAGTGAAACTTGCTGTCGTTTAAGCCTTGATTAGTCAACTATTAGAGAAGAGCTGAGGACAAAAGACATCTGTACAACATGTTGCATATTATATGACTTAGAAGTGTATGTGGAAACATTAGTTAACATTGTCTTGGTGAATCTCTCATCGTCTCTTGCTCTCATTCTAAACAGCTCAGACAATTAGGTAGTTCTCTATATCAATAAACGCTGTCTTAATATTCAAGCTTTTTCATCATTGTCTGTTTCATCGTCTTCCTCGACTCTTTAGTTAACATTGTCTTGGTGAATCTCTCATCGTCTCTTGCTCTCATTCTAAACAGCTCAGACAATTAGGTAGTTCTCTATATCAAAAGACGCTGTCTTAATATTCAAGCTTTTTCATCATTGTCTGTTTCATCGTCTTCCTCGACTCTTTCCTATATATACTTCTTGGGATCTATCCGTGGTTTAGCTTGTTCTACACCCTTCTCTCCCATGTGGCAACTGTGTCAAGGCTTCCCTGATTAATCCCAATTGGGCCCAAATCTCAAAATTAAATGCTGTTTGTTTCAAGAGAATCAAACCTAACACCACCTTCCTTTTTGGTTCCATACTTATTAAGTTGAGACTCCTCATCGATTCTGATCTCTTTAAGCAGTTGTAAGTAGTAACGATACCTTTCCCAACCACCTTTCACAGCACAACCTTCTACCCCTAAATCCGAGCAATTTCGACTTTCCAACACCACTAGGTCCAACAATCACACAGAAGTCTGATTTCGTAGGTTAAACGCAATCTCATCAACTCCGACTTTAGTTCCCACACTGCAAAACAATGGTTCATAGTTCCAACTACGCAATCTTAACTTCCAAGATTCCACTTCCTGAAAACAAGATCATTGCTCTAATCAAACCCTGAAACAGAGTCTAAACTACAAAGCAGCAAGTGTTCTAAAGTCTAAACTAGTAGTGTAGCCTATGAAATTGCTGGAAACAAGTTTTTGGTTCTGATCAATCCCTGAAATAGAGTACAAAGCATCAAAGTGGTCTAAACTAGTAGTGAACTATGCAATTTCTTTCTAGCAAGAACAGGGGTTCATAGTTCCAACTACACAATCTTATCTTCCAAGATTCCAATTCCTGTAAACAAGATCATGGCTCTAATCAAAGCCCTGAAATGGAGTCTAAACTAGTAGTGAGCTTATGCAATTTCTTCCCGGCAAAACCAGATTTCGAGTCAATGAGAAGCAAACTAGCTAGTCACCTTCTCATTCTCTCTGAATAAACGTTTTGTTTCTCTGAAGTTGATGTAAATGACTTTCGAAGCTGGTTTTAAAAGAAACAAAAATGAAAATAAATAACAACAGAGCTCTCCACCACTCACTACGTTTTAATGTAAACAAAATGTTATACTTATAATAGAAGAAAATTTAAATGTCCAGCAAGATATACGTTGGTGTTAACATAAACTCAGCAGTGAGAAATTAGTCAACATCATAATTTTTTTATTCAGAAGCATAAATGAAACCGAAAAAGCAATAATTAATTCCCAGGGAGAAACCATCGAGCATCCATGAGATTCATGTCGTCAAGACCAGGAAAGCGTTTGAGGGACTTGGTTACAAGATTGAACACACAGATGTCAAGGTCACAAGGTGAGCATTGGCAGGGACGGTAGTGACGGGTGAAATAGATGGAGTCTGGTTCGATACCAAGGGTATCGTTAGCAGGCACAGTAAAACCCAAGTCAAGAAGCAGAGCCTCACCATCAAGAGAATATACTTCACGAACCGTGTTGCTGGCAGAATCTGGGTCTTTTACATTAAGATTCTTCTTGTAGACGCGGAAGCAGTTCCTCTGGCATGGATCACTCTCAACCAACAAAACCTCTCCTGAGGTTGTAACCGCAATGCTAGAATCCCATGATTGATAACGAGAAAGCATTGGGAATGGTTTGCCCTCGGTGATGTCCTTGAAGAAACCTTGCGGTCCAGAGAGATCTAGGACTTGAATATAACGTCGACTTGTCGAGATATAAAGACGGTCACGCCCTAGTACCATATAAGATAAACCGTCCAACCAGTGGTCGTCTGGGTAATACAGAGGAATGTCAGTGTAATGAGTATCCCCTTTCTTGCAAAAGCTTATATAAGCGTGGCCAGGAAGGTCAAAGAACCACACCACAACGTACTCTGATCCACTCTTGTCTACCCACAAAAGGCCCCTCACAACATCAGAACTCAGCTCATCGAAAATACAGCCACTATCATCCCTTTCAAATTTTCTATCTCCCACACGCTTGATCTTACTAGTCTTTGACCTAATCGACTCTAGAGACGGAAGAGGGATCGATTTCTCGCTAAACACATCAATGATAAATAAATTGGATCCAGAATCTAACAACAACAACCAGTTACCCGAGTTTGCCAGGATTCGAGACCCTGGAAAGTCTCGCAGGTTCCTATGGATCTTCTTTCCTTCTTTCGGGTCGTATAGCACACAACCACCGTCTTTCGGAAAAAGCATCAGCCATGGAGATCCGCTTTTCTGGGGTAACGTTTCCTTAAACATCGAACGTACGTCATTAAAACCTTGAAGATCCGACGAGCTCCTTTGTGAAGAAGATACATTCATTGTCACGAGCAAGGGTTCTAGCGTTTGAGTTTGAGGGAGGCGTCACCTTTGTTTTGATAAGTATTTTACAAAGGATGTTATATTGTTACTACTTATATAGTTATATCCATGTACCCAAGGTCCAAACAACACTAGGTTTTAAAACCCGCGCTCCTTTGTGGGGTAATTTCCTAAATTGTGTTTTAACTCGACAAAAAAAAATCAATACTTTAATTTTAAAAAGTCAATACTTAATCAATAATGCAGACTGCAGACAGAGTATGTTTTAGTTTGTGTATATTTAAATTTGATGTAATATTTAACACTGAACCATTTCAAATGAGTTATGTCATTCTCATTAGTCCTTTCACTCACTCTGTAGTCCAGTCTAACAAAAACTAAACTTTAAGAGTTGTAATAAACACATAAATCCTCTGCGGCATTTCCACAAACACTTGGTCTGCTACTTGGACAAATTCGAACCTAAGAGGTAAAGACCCTAAGATACGACCAGAATCAGAGATAGTATAAAAGCTTAAAGATCAAAACATGTTGGAGAAATGAAACCTTGTAAATTCAAAAAAAGAAAAAATGAAACCTTGTAAATTCTAACGAAACCCAGCAAATATCCAATTCGGGGCAGGATGATGCTTGACACAAAATTCAGCGACTTTGTCCAGAGGAACTACAATAGCTTCAAATCTACATAAGCTCAATCCGTTATCTCAATGTTACTTTACCACTATTTCATCAAATTTACAAATGATAGTTTTAAATTTTTGTAATATTTGGAACATTGATACTAATTTAGAACTATTGATCAAAATGAATTCTGTAACTACATGTATTTACTATAATCATCCTCAACATCTTTCGAATAAAAACATGTAATTTTTGTATGCTTCAGATTTGGATTAGTGTGTTGACTTGGGACATTATCTTTTTATTAGATATCACGCTGCTGGTTAGTGATCTGTTCTCCAATTGCCACACGGCTAACGTCGATTATATTCTGGTTGATCTTGGCCTTGGGAGCATTTAATGCCATCTAGAAAAAGATCTAGGATAATTGGTTCTTTAACTTTGTTGTTTTCGCTGATTCAGTGAGATGAAGGAAATTGAGTTGTTTTTTTTTTTTTTTTATCAAATTGTTCCATCTCTAAGGCACCACGTACCAGAGTGAATGAATACCAAATATGATCTTTTTAATAAGAGAAAACAAATTAGGCAAGCATAAGATTTGGAAAACTTTAAAATAAAATCATCTCAAACCCTACACTCATCTGCTTTGCCAATGCATCTCTGAATTTCTTGATCTGAAAAAAAAACAAATCAAGATCAAAACCAAACCAAACCAAACATGGTTGTCTCATGTTTTATGGGAATGAGAACGAACCGTGGCATTGGTATAGCTAAAGCTGCAATCACGACCCTGAGCGCCTCGGTAGAATCGGAAAAACGGGGAACTTGAACACAGGGCTATAACACATCGACTTATGTTCCTCGTAATTCACCTGACGAAACTGCACACCAGGGTTCATCTTTGCCAACTGACATATCTGCAACAATCATAAACCAGTATGGTTAGATATGTGGACCATACTGGTTTTTATTAATTTTTATTAATACTAAGGGGGTGTATTCGATTAAAGATTTAGGAGAATTTGGTGGAATTTAGGAAATTTTGGATTTGCAGAGATTTAAGTGAGTTTATAGGATACTTTTGGTGGAATTGTTATTTTTCATTTTAAAAAAGGAAAGATAATTTGTGATTTGATGAGCTTTTAAAGAGATAATATATAGGTGATTTGGTGAGATTTTTAGCACAAAAAATAGAAAAATTGAGATTTCCTAAAAAATTGCAAACGGTATAATCAATATCAATGAACCATTCAAAGGCTTAAAAGTAATTGGAACCACCATCAACAAGTAACATGTGCAACTAGCCAAGCTATAACAACAAGAAAACTTGCCTTGATAATTTTCTCTGGTTTGTGGTAACTTCTTAAACATGCCGTTTGAATTTCGAAAACATGTTTGACGGTGGTGGAATTCGTGATCAAGCTCAAAACAAAAACTTATGTCACTCCATCAACCTAGTTTCAAAAATCTAGTGTTATCAGCGACAAATCAAAGCTATACACAGCAGCAAAACGAGATTCACCTCCATGCTTGACGACACATAAACTAACTCAAAATTCTATCTGAAATTTATCAATTTCGCAAATAAAGTTCTATTATGATATTAGCAAAGAAACAAACATACTGAAGATCAAAACCGACCTCGCAACAATTTGACTTCTAATCGTCGAATAGTTTTATTCATCAATTTAAATCTCCGTTTGTGCTCTTTGAGAATTAGATTGAAGCTGCTCGAGACTTGTGAGGACGAGAAGTGAGTCACCACCACTACCAAAGAAGAGACTCTCTTTTGACTTTAGTCCTTGTACATATTTCAAGGCAAATGGGGACTTTGATTTTAGGATCTCTTATGTTATTTTTGTTCAAGGGATCGAGATCGATGGAGATGAAGACAAGGATGAAGACGAGGATGAAGAGAGGAGATTGTTTCACTAGTTTAGTTTCGTTAGCCACATGTTTTTTTTTACTTTTTTCTTTTTAATCAAATACCACCTCTAGAGGTGTGATTGTTTAATTCTTATTTTTACACTAAAAAGGTATCCAAAGTCTCACCAAATCAGTTTTCAATATTTTTTTTAAAAAGTTTTGTTAAGTTTGAATAACAGTGGATTTGATATGGGTTTTAGAAATTCATGATTTAATAACATGAGATTTGAAATGATTTGGAATGATTTTACATAAATTCCGGTTTCAATAACATGGAATTTGAGAAGAAAATTTTAAATCACTGATTGAATAACAAGTGATTTTAACAAAAAACCAAAAATTTCCAAAATCATTGTTCCAATACACCCCCCTAAGTAATCAAATCTTCTAAATATCTCTATTATTAATTGTGGACCATTATATAGATATTTTTTATTTTATAATTAATGTTAAAATATTTAGTATTAATTATCTATTATACATATAGCCAAACACAATTAAAATATTTTAACATTAATTATAAATAATATACATATAATATATATTCTATACTTAGAAGATTTGGTTAAGATTTAAAATTATGATCCTCCTATCATCTTTGTTTAATTTTTATTATTGTTTTGAATCATCATATAATATATAAAGTTAATAAAAATTTCAAATTTTTTGTTTCTGCATATATTGTGAATCTAAATTTTAAAAACGAAAATATATTACTCAATTAATGAAAAATGTGTATTCAACATCAAAATGAATCTAAATCCGAACACGGAAAAAGCTTAACTTATTGGAGGAGCAAGGTTCTCGCTTTTCTGGCCTAAGATTGAGGGAGGCGTCACCTTCTGTCAATGATATTATTGTGTGTGTATATAGGTTACCTCTTAGAATGTATACAATTTGGCGAGAGCGAAATGGTCAAAGACACGAAGCTTCGAATTCAGCAGCTCGACTTATCCGGTGGATAGACAAGCAAATTCAGAACACGCTTTCGGAATTTCATGGAATCCTTCAAGAATTTCAAGGAATCTCTCCTGAATTTCGTAGATTTTTTTTGCTGGGAACGGAAAATATTATAGCGAAATATGAGGTTTGCACAATGGGTGAAAAATCTTGGAGACCGATTACATTTAAGGATGGTCATTCACTAGAAACTGAAGGACTATTTAAAGGAGGGGTTTTGTACTATGCAGCTGACCTCTATAGTGACAGTACTCGGGTAATAATGAGCTTCAATGTTCGGTCTGAAGATTTTAGTGTCCTTGAATTACCTAAGGATGTTGATTTTTCTATTGGTTGGAACTTGGTGAATTCAAAGCGAAAATTGCCTTATCTATTTATGATGACTACGACAATGGAGTTTTGCAAATATGGGTTAGAAAAATGGGTGTATGGTTAAGAAAAAGCTTTAAGATTCCTAGTTGGAAAGAAACTGTTTTTTTTTTAATTTAATGTTAAATTATATTCAAGAAAAAAATAAATTTGTTTACACTTCAGTGTTGAAGATCTCAAGTTTTATTTCATTGGAACAGGAGAACTTGTTTCCACATAATACTTCTATTATGAAAATGAATCACCCTATATTGTGTTGTATTACTGAGGGGCATTGTGTTGACTGAGGGGCATTGTGTTGAAACCTTCTTGGACCATGTTGATAGTACTTGGCTTATATGCAGTCCCGTCTCAATGTAGTGTAGGGCCCTTGGTAAAACCAAACCAATCAGTTTCAGATTATATATATATGTATATAAGAGCATCTCCATCGGTCAGACACTTTATTAAGTGTCTAACAAATAAAATAATATTAATTTTTTATTATTTTGTTATTTTATTATTTAATTGTTTATTTAAATCAATCAGAAGAAGACAACTGTAAAAATGGGTGTCTCAGAGTTTCTCAAATGAGAAACAGTTTCTGTCCTCTCTCTTCCTTTTTTAATTTTTTATTCTGTTTTATTGGAGAGTGTCTCACCTAGACACTCCCAATGGAGATGGTCTAAGATCTCAGTTTTTCCTTATACAATGGCTAGAAACGACATGGTTTCTATTAGGCCTGGGCATTTGGGTATTCGGTTCGGTTCCTAGTATTTTGGTTCTGAGATTTATGAACCATATTGGAACCAAATCAAAATCGGTTCGGTTCTGGTTCGGTTCCTATTCGGTTCGGTTCGGACAATAAATTTTAGAACCAAATAGGAACCAAATTGTTTCGGGTATTTTTGGAACCGAAAATAATAACAGAATCATAATGTAAAATTTAAATGCAATTATGTAAGTATGCAATACAACATCACATATTAGTCATTATACCATTACAAATCCAAAAAATAGTTGAAACTTGGAAAGTATTAGGTCAAAAGACACCCAAAGTTTTAAAGATACCACAAAACACAAGAGAGAGTTTTTGTCTACCCTGTTTTGAGAAAGAGAGAACAAAGTAGGGTTTTTAGGTTTAGGCGCAGAAAGGAATATATAAGAAGCTAAGAGAGACTTTGGGTTAGGTTTATGGTGGGGTATTGGGCTTGGGTAGTTAGGTTTAGGATTTAATGGGTTTGAAACTTTGGGTTATATAAATATAGGTTAATAGCTATATTTTTTGGGTACCCGAATGGATATCGGTTCCTACCCGAACCGAACCGATATCCATGGATATTTGATTCAAGATCCAATCGATATATTTACTAGAACCGGAACCGAACCGAACCCATCAATTTTGGTTCGGTTCGGTTCGGTTTTATGTGGATCCATATTTTTGTCCAGGCCTAGTTCTATATATATATCTCATATAGACAGGCCGCAAAAACCCTAATTCTTGTCTTGGGTCATATCCAAAATCATACAAACCAAAGAGATCACCAATTTTATATTAAATCGATCCCTGACTAATTAAAAGATCGATTCAATGACACTTGACAGTAACGCTCAATTCTGCATGGGATATTGATGTAAATTAGTGTTTATTTATTTATTAACCTATTGGGTCTAGACCCATTAATTATCTCCTCGGATACGATCCATAATAAATTAAGCTAGTCTCTTTCCGTTATCAGTGTTTGATTTGAAGCCAGAACCTTCTCTCAACTCTTTAGCTAATCAAGTCATTCATGATATATAGCATGTGTAATGGATCTTCTTTGTGGAGTTTGTGTGTGGGCTTATCCGTTTATGTCACATCCAAACGACTACGATCGAATTCAATGCATATTTAACCAAAAATCAATAAATATGATATGGTTAAATATGCATGATATATATCATTCGAGCGGGTATTTTACATATAATTTTGCACAAGACTTGTGGAATGAAAAAAAAAAAAAAAAAAAGACTTGTGGAATGATCTTTTTCTTAATTTTATCATTAAAAAAATTAAGATATTCCACCTAGAAACAATTAATTGTGACTAGTGTAAGACAATTTTAAAAAACAAAATTTGAGAAAAGAGGAAAGTGTGGGTTGTATAACTTGTAAAATCTTCTCCTAAATTAGTAAATTTGATATAACAGTTAAAAAAAGTCAATAGATACAACTAAATAAAATCAATAACGGAATAGTTTTGGTCAATAATAGCAAAACACTTTGCACGTTAGGCAAAAGAGCATTGGCTTTACGAAAATCATCAGCCAAAAAGATCAAAAAAGCCATGTGGTCTAAGTAATTAGAGATCATACACCGCAACAATACCAAGAACGATGATAGCTATATTGTGAAACAGAGAACAAAACCAATCTGTCATAAGGCAACAACCAATACATTCTTTTTTTTTAGGAAGAAAATAGTGAAATGAAATTGTATATATAAATTGATAACTCTTAGTAACAATCATTGTCACAAGGCACATTTCTATCCTCATTGGTGTTGTGTCTCCTTCAACACCAAGGAAAGAAATTGCCTTGCTCTTGAATCCTTTTGGTTCTCATCATTCTCGTAGTCTTTTTGTGTCCCACATTTTTTTCTTCCTCAAAGCTAATATAAGATGGAGAAAAGTCAGTTGTCTCCAACCAAGGACGACGCGTCCACAAAGCAGAAGAATGTAGATGACTGGTTGCCGATAACGTCCTCTAGAAATGCCAAATGGTGGTACTCTGCGTTTCACAATGTCACCGCCATGGTCGGAGCTGGTGTGCTCAGCTTACCCTACGCCATGTCCAACCTTGGATGGTATATATCCAATCTCTATAAAGAACTCATTAGAAAACTTTTATATACACATTCAATATTAATATATAACATTGAATTTTGATGGCAGGGGACCTGGAGTGACAATAATGATAATGTCATGGCTGATAACATTTTACACAATATGGCAGATGGTGCAAATGCATGAGATGGTTCCAGGGAAGAGGTTCGACAGGTACCATGAATTAGGTCAACACGCGTTTGGGGAGAAGCTTGGACTCTGGATCGTGGTGCCACAACAACTAATCGTTGAAGTAGGTGTGGATATTGTATACATGGTTACGGGAGGGAAGTCATTGAAAAAAATCCATGACCTTCTTTGCACCGATTGCAAAAATATAAGAACTTCATATTGGATCATGATCTTCGCTTCCATACACTTTGTTCTTGCTCATCTCCCTAACTTTAACTCTATGTCTATCGTCTCCCTTGCTGCTGCCGTTATGTCTTTGAGGTAATTACAACTGAAAATCAATTGTTAATGAGTAGATTTTAACTATATATAGCTTATTATTATTTATTTTTTAAATGGTCTATATGAGATTTATTGTGATTGTAATATATGCAGCTATTCGACAATCGCTTGGGCAACCTCGGTGAAGAAAGGAGTTCATCCAAATGTAGACTACTCGTCTAGAGCATCTACGACCTCAGGAAATGTATTCAACTTCTTGAATGCACTAGGAGATGTGGCATTTGCGTATGCAGGTCACAACGTCGTGTTGGAGATTCAAGCTACTATTCCTTCAACTCCTGAGAAACCATCAAAGATTGCAATGTGGAAAGGAGTTGTAGTTGCCTATGTCGTGGTCGCCATATGCTACTTCCCCGTTGCATTCGTTTGCTACTATATTTTTGGAAACAGTGTGGACGACAATATTCTCATGACGTTGCAGAAACCCATCTGGCTTATCGCCATTGCTAACGCATTCGTGGTTGTCCATGTCATTGGAAGCTATCAAATATACGCAATGCCGGTCTTTGACATGCTTGAAACCTTTTTGGTAAAGAAGATGATGTTCGCTCCGTCCTTCAAACTCCGCTTCATCACTCGTACTCTATATGTTGGTAAGTTTTTATTCATATTGAATCAATTATCCTACATAATAATAACATATGAATTTTTAACAATATTGGATCAATATAATGGAATAGCTTTCACGATGTTTGTTGCTATATGCATCCCATTTTTTGGTGGATTACTCGGTTTTTTTGGAGGATTCGCCTTTGCCCCAACAACTTACTATGTAAGTCATTCTATACACTAATCAAGCCTATTCATTTGCTTAAAATAAAATCTAATTAATAACTTACTTGATATACCTTTTTGTTTTTATTTTACTATAATTAGCTACCATGCATCATGTGGCTTTGTATCAAGAAACCAAAGAAGTATGGATTGTCTTGGTGTATTAATTGGGTATGTTTCTTTTACTCATCATCTTCTACTACATATGTGTTTTTATTTTTCTAACATAAATTTGACAATAACTTTGTTGTTTGGTTGTGTGATAAATTGCAGTTTTGCATAGTAGTTGGTGTTATATTGACGATCGTAGCTCCCATTGGTGGCCTCAGAACCATTATTATCTCAGCCAAAAACTACAAATTCTTCTCTTGAAGACTATTTTATTTTTCAAACCCTTAGTTTCCATCAAACCAATGTTGTTTTGACCAATTCATTTTAGAAACAAAACTGGTCAAATGAGTCATATATACTTTCATTTAGCCACTTAATTTGTTCAGTGGCCAATAATGATGTCAATTCTAAGGGTTTGTTTATTTTTATTAAATTTGATATACTGTATTATCCAAAATATATATATTATTTTAAAATCAATTCGAGCATCCACTATTTATGTCTAGTAAACATATTATAAATCTCATGCACCTACAAAAACTTTATTATAAAAAGTCAAACAATATTAACGCTTAGACCGTTATCAACGGTTAGTTTCTGTTGAGTCGGATATTCTAGACCGTTGACTCCTTTAACGTTTAACATACTCAAGGCCCATTTGTTTCTGGGTTCAAAATTGAAGGCCCATTTAAAACTCGGGTCCATTGAATAAGAAGGTTAGAAAAAGGCATTAGACAACATCCCGCCCTAAATCACACATTTTCCCGCCATCACTTCCCTTCGTCTTCTCCAGTCGCCATAAGTTAACAAAACATCTCTACGCAGAGAGGGAGAGTGAAGTTGAAAGAGCGATGGCTACAGATGAGGAAATAAAGAATGAATTCAAAAGAAGCGGCTTTACTCTTGTCGAAGAAGACGATATTCTTAAGCGATGTAAGCGAAACACTATCCCCTAATCTAATATCTCTCTGCCCAAATCCTGTAACTTTTTTTTTATCTGACGACATTTGGTTTCTTAGGTGTTACTCTCTGCATAAACTACAGTCTCAATCCTTCTGATCTCGTTTCAAGTTGGGAACTTTATCATCTCAATCGGTAAAAATCACATTTTCTCCACTCTTTTTAACGCCCAATAGTAAAATTCAGTGCTTTTGTTTCCCATTGAGATTGTATTGAGGTTTAAATATTGACCAATTTCATGTTTAGAGTGGTTGTGTTAGTGATGCTATTGGTGGAGAAGAGAATTGAGTTTGTTTTTTTTCCATTGTGTTTGGTTGGATGCAACAGACAACTTCTTGATCAAACTGTTAAGAAAGATGAGATGGATGGGTTTGTACTTCATCTTCAGAACGAACAGAAAGAATCTATTATGAGAGCGGAAGAAGCTGGTCTGCATCTTTACTCGAATAGAGATGTAGATATGTAAGTGTTTTTTTACCATGTTTCTTCTTACTTTGCATCATCTTTAACCAGGCTTGTTTTTGAAGATGTAGAGATTTGTTTTTTTTTGAACCAGGCTTTTGGATGGTGTGCAAGAAGATACGGAAGAGATTGTTACTACTCCTACAAACGAGTCTCAGCGGTTACATCCTGATCCGTTTGATTCGATAAGCAGATCAAGAGATTACGGTTACTCTACTGGGAAGTCAGTTGGACACGTGACACCTTTTGGGTCACGAATCGAAAAGTTTGTGGTGAAGTTTAACGTTGGTAATGTGGCTCCTGCAGAGAATGGAAACAGCAATGAGATAGAAAACAGTGAGGATGATATTATTAAGAGAGTTCAAACCAGCCAGCGGTGTTCTCTAGAAGTCAATGGCTCAGGCCCTGAACCAGGTTGCAGGTTCATGTATGACAGAACTGAGGACAGGTTTAATGTACTCGAGAATCGGATTGTAAGGCACGCAGATGCGTTTGCTGCCTCAGGATTATATGAGGAACAAGTGGATCCAGCTGTTGCTTCACAGGTAGCATTAGTCGTACATACTACTTTGGTGTAAAATAAGTTAACATTGGGGTATAGAATTGCTTAAAATGTGCTACTGATTGCTTCAGAGAAGTATATTTGCTGTGGGAATGATTTGCTGTGATGGAGAGGGGCATTTGAATGACAAGTCCGTTCTATTGCAGAGCAGGTAACTCAACTATGGCTTCACTTGTTTTTGTATGTTATCGTGAAGGATTATGAATCCTGTGTTATCAAAAGTTTCATATTCAGATGCATAAGCTTTTTAAAAATTTGGATACTAGAATGACTTAATACATTGTGGTACCACATAGATATATACATTTATAGTTAGTTATTGGCATAACTGTCTTTTAAACATAAATTCTCAGTTCCAAATATCCAGAGTTTCCCTATCCTAATGCCAACAAATTCGATGATCGCAGTGCTGAGCGTACTTCAGGACAGCGTGTTCCACTGGATTTAAACAGACTAGACCAGTTCTCCATTTTTCCTGGCCAGGTGATAGCTTAAAGCTAACAACATTAGATTTTGTGTTTTTTTCCACAGAAGACTCATAATATTCATGTGGAAGTGGTCTGAATTTGATGCAGATAGTTGGCATTGAGGGACAGAATCCTAGTGGACATTATCTCACTGCATCTAAGCTGCTAGATTCAGTTCCTTTAATACGTGCTGTTGACGTGGATCTACCTCCTGCTAAGAGGCAAAACTTGGATCAGGAGGTCTTAGTTCCTACAGAAGAATCCTGTGAAAGATCAGAGGTTTCATTTGTAAGTATGCACTCCTTCATGTCAAGGGAGCTCTACTAGTATTTATTTTTTTAGTATCGTCAAGGAACCCATTGATTTTTTTTAATGATTCTGGCACATTTCTTTCTAGTACATATTATACACACTAACACACATAATCATAATGTTGAGATGAGACAACTGCAGAATGTCGAGAATTTTAGAGATTAAAAAACTGTTTTGCTTAGCTAGGTCTGGTAACTTAGACTGGAGCTCCTTTAGTTACTGACTTCGATATTGCGAGAAAAAATTTGTATGTTGTGTTCCCCTTTTCTTTTATGATGATATTTGAAATGAATGTATATGTATCTGTTCTGTTTTTTTGGCATAGCTATTAAGTTGTCATTAGTCATTACCAAGCACAAGGGTGGTTTGTTTAGAATCACCTAGCATCATAATTTTCTAATTTGGGTTTCAAAATGATGCTTAAAGGTCTTTACATTGACAGATAATTGCGTCCGGACCATTCACCACATCAGACAACTTGCTGTTTGAGCCACTGAATGAGCTACTATCCTATGCAAAAAGAAAGCCACCACAGTTACTCGTGCTGGTGAGTAACTAGAATGCATTCACACATTCTATAGATATTGTCTCTTGTGTGATTGTGTCTTGGGGTCACTTACGCTTTATTTCCAAACTCAGCTTGGACCATTTGTGGATTCTGAGCATCCAGAGATTAAGAAAGGAGCTGTTGATGCCACCTTTAGTGAGATATTCCAAGTGGAAGTCCTCAGGAAGGTACAGAAAATAGGACAAATAGATGGTACTAAATACTGACTGATTTTGGAATAAACAAAGATATTGATGTTTTTTGAGTTTCTCAGTTGCGAGATTACGTGGAATTCATGGGTTCAGAAGTAAGAGTGGTTCTGGTGCCATCCATCCGTGATGCTAACCATGATTTCATATTCCCACAGGTGCTCTTTTCTTTTCTTTTTTTTCTCTTAAAATCTCTCTTCTAGCTTTTACACATTCCTCTTCTCTATTATGATGCGATAAGTTTCCCCTTGTGTTTGCAGCCTCCTTTCGACATTCACATACCTGATCTCGAACATCAGGTATTTGATTCTTCTTATTAACAAGTCTCCATTTCATCACTCAACTCTCTGTGCACAGGTGGATATATCTATTTACTGTATTCTTGTCTCTTTCTCCTCATACATTACAGATGACCAGTCTGTCAAACCCGGGGACCTTTGAGGCAAACCAGGTAACAAATAAAATCTCTGTAAAAATTCTCTTCTGAGAAGCCATATTCTCCCAAGTCCTTGCAACATAAAATATTAACCGCGTATTCTCAGGTGAAGGTAGGTTGCTGCACGGTGGATGTACTAAAACAGCTGAGTGGGGAGGAGATGTCAAAAAATCCAAGTGGAGTCCCCACTGATCGCATGTCCAGACTCGCTAGCCATCTCCTCCGTCAGCGAAGGTAACTTTTGCGTTTACTAGATCCAACTATATTCTCAGCTACCAAATACTCAAAAATTGGATTCTTATGAAACAGCTTCTATCCTCTGTATCCACCACCTGAGAGCCTCCCTTATGATTCCTCACTCGCTCCTAAGGCGCTACAGATATTATCAATCCCGGATATTCTTCTACTTCCATCAGACATGAGGTACTTTGTGAAGGTGAGTCAGTATGTTAATAGTGGTGTCAAATTCAGAAGCTAGAAGCCAAAAGAAGAATTACTGAATATTTTCCTGAATGTTGTGAAGATTTTATCCCTTGGCGAAGAGGAAAATGCAGCCAAGTGTGTATGTGTAAACCCGGGAAGACTTGCGAAAGGAGAAGGTGCAGGTACTTTTGTTGAGCTTACCTACAAAGGCGGTCCAGAATCGATGCGCGCTTCCATCATCTCTATTTAAAAACAGAACCCGCAACGTTTAGCCAACTCTGCTAATTTCATATATAAGAGAAACCTTTTATTCCTCTCACTTTTCATGCTACGGTTATATGCAAATGTAATCTGCAGATGTATAGTAAATCTCCCCCATCAAAATTGACTGACTAGATTTCTCAAAGAAGATGCCAAAAGAAACTCAACTTGTATTCTCACAATTTTAGGTTTTTTGCCTCAAAAGGAAAGTTTCTGTGGTAATAAAACCAAAACTTATTTACTTTTGTACGATTTCAGAATTATTTTTAGTGATTGAGATTTATATTCGAAAGAAGCTCTGTTTTACGAATGTATAATTAATAGCACTGGAGTATTGGTCTATTGGATACCATTACTCTTCGTCGTATGAATCATGAATGTATCCAAGACGTATATAAAAGTAAAAACGCAAAATTACAATTTAGTTAAATTTAATTTAATACATCCATTGATATTACTACTAAATCATCTTAAGAAAAGCTCAACTTCGTGATGCAACAGACAAAACTCACAAGCAGAAGAAATATTCATGTCGGTGTCATCACCGTATCGATGCCAACCATGATTCCTTACTAGTAACATCCTGGTTTTACAATCGCACTCGCACTTCTCTCGAACGTACACTGTTTTGAGTCGTTCCATCACCGGGTTGTTAGGCCACAAAACGCTGTCTCTAATCTTTTTAATCTTGTATCGAAGTTCCACCAGCTCCTCCATTGTAGTTGACATCAACGGCTTTATAACAGAAGACAAGATCTTCAAACCCTTTTGTTTTGTTTTGTCTCCAAGACAGATTAGAATCAACCCGTAGACATAATTTGCTTCTCTGTTTCCTTTTTCCGCAGCTTCAGCTAAATATTTGAGTCCTTCGTGTTTAAGATTATCTCGAAAGTAGTTCATGAATCCTTTGCGATACAACGCTTCGGGGTTTCCACTATTGCGACATCTCTCGAAGAAATATTCACTGTTCTGATGCCAAGGGGGATAATCGATTTCTTTGAGGGAAAGTCGGTAGAAAACGTATCGTTCATCACAGATACGTCGAAACGATTTCGAAACTACTCTGAGATTACGAACCGCTGACAAGGAAGAAGCTCCGGTGCATGAAGAAATCTCCACAAGAAGATCTTCTGGTAAAGAATCGAGACAAATTCTTGTTTTTTTAGACTTCCTCCTAATAGAAGAAGACGAAGGCGAAAAGGAGGATACCATGTTGAGATTCAAGTGTGTCGAGAATCAAGAGTGTATGTTTCCAATTTGCCAATTTTATTATTTATATAGAGGGCTAAATTCGTTTCCTTTTTTTTAGGCGGACAAATAAATCCTCTTCCATATTTAAAAAGGAAAAAAATAGGTAGATAAGTTAAAAATTAAAGGAAACAAATACATTAATGGCTTTAAAATCCTATTCTTAACCGGTCTAGGATTTATACCCGAGAGACTCGAGAAGTTTATGACAAATTGTATGTTCATCGTACATGATCAAGAACTCACTTTAGCCGGTTTCCTTTTCGAATTGTTCTTCGGTCGGACCTTTACAAAAGCGTTTTGGAGATCCTGCAACAACAAAGAGGTTCCATTGGAATCAATAAAAGACATTAGGTTTTGTAGATTACTGAATTGTTTTATTAATGAATCGATGAGAAGGTAAAACAAAAACAGAAAAATGCCCCCATTGTAAAGAGCTTCTAGAGATCAGGAGATAAATGTAAATCAATCCTAACAGAGATTACCCAGTAGCAAGAGAAGCATGTAGTCACATATCGCGGAGATGATATCTAATAACTGGCTAGGTTCAAATCAATGAATCAAATACTCGAGAGACAGTCCTTGTCGTATCCTCATAACACTCTACTATCAAGAAGACATAACATAATTAAACCCCTTATCTCCGTAATAGACATACTTCCTAATACGATCTCTAGATGATGTAAAGACACAAACCCGAGCTAAAAGTTTCAGCTTTTATTCACGATTACACAAAATTAGCAGTAACCACTAATCAGCCATACAAAACCTATATATAAGGCGTTCAAGAAAATGTGAATCGTTTACCTGATCTGAAGTATCAGTAGCAGATGATTCAGCAGACCAAAGACTTTCCAAATTGAAATAACCCCTGGCTTTCTCATCAAGTGCATGGACTACAAACTTTCCTACACATATCCAGAAAAAAAGCTAATTACAGCCACCACAATTCAAAAACGAAAACCAAGACTTGTAGATACGAAACGTAGCGGCATGAAACACGAACCGTAGTCAATGACAATCCACTTGCTATTGTACCCTTGCACAGAAGGTAGCATTACATGTTTAGCTCCTTTCTGCTTTTGCTTGGCCTGTGAGTGTGAGTGAACACAAAGCACAGAGGATATAAGAAACCAAAGAGATCACTCTATCAGCTTAGTGTTCAAATTCACTGTAACACAAAACACCTACTCATTATCCATCTTTAAATCAACAGTTGAACATCTTAACACAAAAAAAATGGTGATTCAGGACTCAAGCATCGAATTCGAGATTTCATTTGAATCAACGAATGAATTGAAAAAGTGGAAGATGAAATTTGTACCCTATAGACTAATGCTTGAGCGATGTTTCTTAAGTGCCAATCGGATCTTCCGGTGGCGATGACCGTGAAATCAGCCCAGAAACAGTGATTATGTGTAGGAATCACAGTCACGTTATCAGCTTTAACGTCGGCGAGTATCTTCTCAACTTCGGGAAGTGTAAGAACGTCTGAGACATCAGAGATTGAAGAAAAAGAGGGAGAGGAAGCGAAGATGCGATTGGGAGTTGTTAAACCTAGCTTCCACGATTGATCTAGAAGAAGAGACGAACAACGAGATCGGAGAGCTGTCAACATTGGCTAACGCGGTGGCGAATTGGGTACGAATGGGTTAAACCCTAATCCCGAGTTCGATTGACCGGAACGGTAATGGTCTGGTGCGATTTTTTCTTCTTTTTCTCTTTGGTCAACGCTGGTGATGCGGCTTTAACTATTTTCTTACTACACGAATTAGGAATGAAAACAACAATTTTGAAATTAAATTAACAAAAATGAAGTTATATTTTAAAATTTTGAGTAAAATTTTAAAATTCTCGGGTTTTCGGGTAAAAATTCGGATTTTGAGTAAAATTTTTAAAAATTTGGGTATTTTCGGGTTTGAATTGGGTTACGGTTCGGATTTTCGAATAATTTTTTTTTAAAAATTTGGGTATTTTCGAGTTCGGATTCGGATTTTCGGATAAAAAAAATTAAGATCTAATAAAATAAACCTTAGGTTCGAATTTGGGTCGGTTCTGATTTTATGCCGAGATCTATCCAAAACTACATAAATTGCACAATTTCTTTCTATCAATCTCGATTTTCCAAATAATTAAATAATTTTTGAGATAAATATAACGAACTATCTGTATTCTGCAACTTCAATTATTTTACGTTAAAACTATAATTTTTCTAGTTCCAAAAAAAAAAAAAAACACTACTCCAGAATTTTATTTGTTTCCATGTTAAATTCTAATACATAATTTTGTATAACTTCTTCAAATTTTACATCCACGCCGGCTTAAAAGAACAAAGTGGCCTAAAAAGCATATTCTCTAGCAAACTTGCAAACAGAGAAGCATATTCTGCTAATCTGCTCAATCACCTACCAATACATAAGATTGATCGAAATTAATTTAACGTGTATATCCAGTATTCTAATTTCTCATGATATATAATTAATGTCCATTTCAAACTTTAAACTTTTTTTCCTGGATAAAAAAAAACTATACAAAAAAAAGCTCTATACACATTATCAGTCTAAACAAATATTAGAATGTCCTTGGATATTATCAACAGAATTATTTAACATTATTAACCAAAAAAAAACCAACAGAATTTATAAGATAATATTTATATTATATAAGATCGGATAAATGCAATTTCAGATGTTTGAAAAAAAAGTTTGATAACAGCTGTTTTGTCATGAATATATACTCTACATAGGATCGTGTAGACTTCTTAGTAACAAAAAAAACATTAAATAAAAGCCGTTGTTTGTTGCCGAAGAAAAAGCGAGAAAAAAAAAACTGAGCAAGAAGAAGAAGAAGAAGAAGCCATTAGAGAGAAGAGAACTCACGCAACGACAGGTTTTGCTTTATGATTTCATGTCATCTCTGTTTCTTCTTTATCCTGTAGAAGACATATCACGCGATTGAAACCCTACGATCAAGAAAGATCAATCGATCATCATCACAATGGATCAACCGGTGGCTTCATCTTCGTCACACTATATCTCAATTTTCACAAATTTCCCTCTGATTTCATCCCTTCTAGCTTTCACCATCGCACAATTCATCAAATTCTTCACCTCCTGGTACGTTATTCATATCTGTCTAGGTTAAAGAAACAGAGAGTATTTGTAGAATTTTGATTTGGAAGCTTATGAAGCTTAATTTGGTGTAAGTTTTTGTGTAGGTATAAAGAAAGGAGATGGGATTTGAAACGGCTTGTTGGGTCTGGAGGAATGCCTTCGTCACATTCAGCAACAGTTACAGCTTTAGCTTTAGCTGTTGGTTTACAAGAAGGCTTTGGTGGATCACATTTCGCTATCGCTTTGGTTCTCACTACCATTGTATGTTTTTAGCTCAGTTAATTAATTACCTTTCTTGATTATCACTTCAGGGGGTGATTAAGTTGCTAGGATTTTGTTTGTTTGTGTGATAGGTTATGTATGATGCAACTGGTGTCAGGTTACATGCTGGACGCCAAGCTGAGGTTTGATTTGTTTCGTTTCTTTTATTTTTTCGGTGTTTGAAGCGTGTTTTGGTTAATGATTTGGGTTTGTTTTGTTTGCAGGTTCTTAATCAGATTGTGTATGAACTTCCTGCAGAGCATCCTCTGGCTGAAAGTAGACCGTTGCGTGAACTTCTAGGTCATACTCCTCCGCAGGTAAGTATGTAGTACTAATTGAGTCAGAGAATGATTGTAGTTATTAGTATCTGAGACTATCTATTTTTTGGTGTCATCAGGTCATTGCTGGTGGAATGCTTGGAATATCCACAGCAGTTGTTGGGTACTTAGTCATCTTGATAACAAAGTAGCTTAAGGTGTAGCGAAAGCTCGCCTTTTCTGCTCTATCGTGTGTCAAAGTCACTGGTAGGTAGTTGAATTAGCCACGATATGCAAATGTAATCTGGAAACTGGGTTTCATCGATCTTAGTTTCTTCTTTCCTTTTTTTTGTGCTGCTCAGCTTCTAATCATTGATAACATATTATAGGTTTGTTCTTGTTAGGAAACATGAAACGTCATTATACAGAATTATGAAGTGGTAAAAAAGTGGAGTTTGTGCCTTGAAATATAGTGAACACGATCTGTTTAGATTCAGCAGGATCAATATACTTTGAAACTCATTTTTGTTAAAATGCTCTATCTCTATCGACATAGCTATAGAGCTAATGCTAATATCGACACATTTCTTGGCATTAACTACTGTTTCCTCTGCCACGAGCTAGCTGATATGATTCCTCGAATGGTGATTGTATAAGGAGCAATAGCTTTTTACGTTGATAAGATTTAAACAAACAGGTGACTGATTAAGTACCTTTGATGGAGAATCATGCATATATTCACATTCTATCATCTTCTTATTATCATTTAATCATTCTTAAAACATTCTATACATGATTACTCATTGATTCACACTTTTGTGGCCTTTAAAACCACCAACCATTGATTAGCCACGGATTGGCCACCAAAATGGTTATGACCAAATCTGTGGCGGTGTGGCCAATGAATATCGGTGGCAAAATCAGTTGTCATTTGAATTTCGGTGGCCATTTTGAATTTCGGTGGCCAATTTAATAGTTGGTTTTTCTTTTCTAACGGATATATATATATATATATATAGCTGTTAGTAGCCACTGAAAATCAGTGCCCAGGTATCATGTATGAAAGAGCTACATTTCTCAATTCCTCATCCAAAAATCATCACAACACATCTCAAATTCTTTTTTAGCATAATGTCTTTTACTCTAAATGCATTGTCCGAGAGAGAGAGAGTGGATGAACAAGAGATTAGATTCCGAGAAAAACAGTATTTCTGATGAGTATGTGGATGGGTTGATCACAATTCTAAATTTAGCACAAAGTCAACATTCTTACACTGAGAGGGGAAATATGTTGTGTCCGTGTGTTCAATGTAAGACTAAGAACATAAAGCGTCATGATGCATATACTGGGGCGGCATGTATATTATAAGGGTTTCACGGAAAAATACTACTTGTGGACGTGGTGAAGTTTCGACGAGACCTCAGACTTAGACTCCGCCCCAACGGCAACATCAATCATAGCCTTAACCACAACCACATCTTGTGCCAAACAATGAGCTGAGTGTGGAGGACTACGACCCCTCCATAAACAACCATCTGGTCTGATTTACTCTTCTTTCATTGTTGGACAATTTTACTTCTTGTTTTTGTTAAGTGGTTTTCTATTTAAGTGTTAAGGTTGTTTAGTTAAGACCAAAGGTGAACCAAAATCTAATTTAGCCACCGCCACATATGAAGATAAGTAACAAATAAACACTAATATTATTCTTAATTTTTTTTTTTTGTCACATTAGAAAGCTTATCAAAAATAGAAAATGCGAGTTAAAGGAAGTACATAATAATAATGAAATCCATAAGAAACCAAAAGCAATAGGGGGACCTGTCAAAGACCACGTGACTTTGTCAGTCAAACCCGGACCCGCTTTTACCCTAACCCGGACCGACAAAACCCATCTCTCGCCACTCATTCCTAGATCTTGAACCGTACACGTGTCATAATCTCTACAACAAAACCACCTTCATCTATAAAAAAAAATCTAATCTAAAGTTACCGTTAAAAAGTAGTCCAACTGTAGTAGTCGTATCTTAAAAAAATACCAATCTCGGGAACTACATTATTAACATTTTCCCAAACTCTTTTTATTTCTTCCAAGATTCCTCCTAATTGTTTTGTGATTGTTCCCATTGCATTTGCATTATTATCATCACTTAATTATTCTAATGTTGATTACTTAGTCACTTCCTCCCCACGTACACATGATTAATAAACATTTTTACAGTATTATTATCACAAACCAGATCTGAGCATTATTATAAAAAAAAAAAACCCATTAATTTAAAGTAAAAACAAAAAATAGTGGGTCTATATCAATATATACTATTTAGATGGAAAAAAAACAGAGTGATAATTAGAGAGTTATAAAGACACTATCATTCTCGTCTCTACAACAACCCATCTGGACATTAATGTCACATTTCTGAAATCTCTCAACTTCATCATCAAGTGGGTTCCTATGAGAGTGACGACTCTTTGATTGCTTCGCCACATCTTTATTTTCCCTCACTTTGATTATTATTATCCTTCTAAGTCATTTCTCTATCTATCCATATTATAGGAAGTTAGATAGATCTCTGTTTCGTAAGAATGAGATCTAGTGTTGAAGATAACAAAGGATGGATAGGACCAGCGACACCGGAGATATCGAACGGTTTTGAGTTTCAGAAAGGTTCTAACCGGACACCAAACCATCACCGGTCTACTATGGGGAAGCCTGCACCGTCAAAATGGGACGATGCTCAGAAATGGCTTTCTGGTGTAGGGTTTGCTCGTGGAGGTGGTGGAGGTGGTGAGAAGAGTAGTCGTCATCACTCTAGAAGTAATCAGCCGAGAAACTCTAACGCTGATGATCTTAGACTTATAGCTTCAGCTTCACAAAGGGAACGTGAAGGAGAAGATCAGTATGTTGAGTATGATGATGAAGAGATGGCGGCGGGAAGGCCGGAGGTTGAGACGAAGAATGTTGATTGTGGTGAATCGGTTTGGAGGAAAGATAGTAGTATCAATCCAACGGCTGGGATTAGATCGGTTTGTGTGAGAGATATGGGGACTGAGATGACTCCTATTGGTAGTCAAGAGCCTTCTAGAACAGCTACACCGGTGCGAGCTACTACGCCGGTTGGGAGAAGTCCCGTGACTTCACCGGTGAGGGCTTCGCAACGCGGTGAGGCGGTGGGGATTGTGACGGAGACTGTGATGGAGGTTAGGAGGGTAGAGAGTAATATTAATGAGAAGAGTAATGGTTTTGGGGAGAGTAAGAAGGCGATGAGTGCTATGGAAGCTCGAGCTATGGCTTGGGATGAAGCAGAACGTGCGAAATTCATGGCTAGGTCATTAACGTTAATTGATGGTTGGTTTTAATATGGTTAATGTGATTAGTGTTTGAGATTGAGTTTTTGTTTATTTTTGTTGTGGAATTAGGTATAAGAGAGAGGAAGTGAAGATACAAGCTTGGGAGAATCATGAGAAGAGAAAGGCAGAGATGGAGATGAAGAAAATGGAGGTAAGTTGTTCTGTCTAATTGAAGAAAAGGACTTATCAACACGTGTTTCAATCCAGTTTTTTTTCGTTTTTTTTAAGAAAAAATAAGTAGTGTAGGTTGGTTTGATTTGGATTTGGATTCATATCTTTTCGGATTAGGTTTTGGATTCAAAAAGGCTTGAGAAAAATGTGTGAATGTTTGTGTAGGTGAAGGCGGAGAGGATGAAAGCAAGGGCAGAGGAGAAGCTGGCCAAGAAGCTAGCGGCGACGAAAAGGATAGCGGAAGAGAGGAGGGCAAACGCGGAGGCGAAACTAAACGAAAAGGCGGTGAAGACATCGGAGAAAGCCGATTATATAAGGAGAAGTGGTCACTTGCCTTCTTCTTTTTCTTTCTCATTTAAGCTTCCCTCTCGCTGTTGGTGTCAATAATCGTCTATTCTCATTATTTTATTTAGAATGTAATCGTATGGATTTACTGATATTTAACGCAAAAAAAAAAAAAAAAAAGATTCAATGGTTTTGTTTGGGGAAGTAGATAAAAGAAATTGAGCTAGGGACTCTCAATTGTTAATCAAGGTCCCACGAGTAGTTTGACTATGTCAACTATGTGCACTTTTGATTGCTAAGTACTAAAAACTTGCCCAAGCATCCGTGGTCTAGTGGTAGAAGAAGCTTTGGGAAAGGGTGAAACTCCTAAAACCTGAGTTTGATTTTCCCTGGAAACAAAAACACATTTGTTTGGGAAGTCTGTCAGTTGGGCCTTGGCCCAATTAGTTTACCTGGTAGCCAGAAATGCAGGCGGTCTGACTACCCCTAGCATTTAGTCGGAAGGCATTCCAAACTCGGGATAGACAGAGTGGTAGCTCGTAAGGGCCTAACTGTTAACACGGTGGACCAGTCCACTATGTAGCACATCAGTGCGTTCCTACCGAGACCGATCGGATAGCCGATAGGGTTTATAAAAAAAAAAAAAAAAAACTATGTCCCTAACTTTTTTATACACATAAACACATTGGGGAAACTCATAATCTTTGATGTGACCGGTATTGGGCTTTTTAACAAACCAATTATAGGTATATGATGGAAAAGTAAAAATTAATAGTACTGTACTACTTTTTTTTTTTGGTAGCAAGGTTAAGTAATTATTTAGTTAATACTACTTGATAGTGATTTTGATGATTTTTTTTTACTTTTTTTTTTTACAAAGTGGTATGGTTTTGATTGTTAAATTTTGTAAAGAGCCAAACAAGACAAAAGTCTAGGATATGAAAGATGACTCAAATGATTCGACCAAGCTAGTCATGAACGCGGACGATATGGGATGAACGAGAAGACAAATGATTAGTGACCAAAAGATGAAAGTTCGTGATTGAGAAATTATGATTATTCATAATGTTCTAAACAACGGTTTATGTGGTCCCTAAACATTATGCAGCCACAAACCCTGGCATTCATTTTCCCGGACATTGAAATTAGTTATTTTAGTTGTAACCGATTTTCGGTAATTTTTAGGTGTGTTTAGGTGTTCCTAATCGGTCTTCAACGGGTTTACACACATTTGGTAAATCGCCTATTAGGTACTTTACAACTTTTTGTTTGTTTCAGGCTTTCATCATAGTTTTTTTCAAATTTTGACTAAATAAACGTAAAAAATACTATATGACTATGAAAGTTAACGGAACTCCAAAGTTAACGTATGTTATTTGCTATAAATTGAATTGATTTGATGTTAATATTTAGGTTGAGTTATTTGATAAAAAAAATTTAGTTGATTGTATTTGGATCAATTATATACAATATGTTCCTTTTGAAATTTCATATTTTGTATTTTTTCATATGTTTTTGTGACTTTAGCAAAAAAAAAAACTTTATATTATAGACCTATTTAAAATCGCTTAGGTTTCGATTAAGCATTAACCTTGAATCGTCATCATTTAGTGTCTAACACTTTTTAAAACACTAAATATTCATGAATGTTGTTAAATTAGGTGTTTAGTATTGATATTCACACAAGATTCTCGCATATATTTTTCATATTTTACAAATTGCCCATTTCCTTTTTATAGGGTTCATCATGTGTAATAACATAAATGGTATCAAAGCAAAAAAGCATAGCCTAGATGATTTCCCTCTTTTACCTTCAATCGCAAAGCACCCTACACATCCAATTTGACAAACTTGATAAAGTTCACCAACAAAACTACTTCATGTGGAAATTCGAGTCCATTTATCTGTTCTTGATTCCCATATCTTCATCGTACCATTCTCTTTACCTTCTCCAATATGAGTCTTCTGGTTTCTGCCTATCTAACTTTTTCATAGTTTGTAATGACCATCACTCGTTCTTTAGAATTCGCATATGTACTCCTTTCTCATCTCCGCTAGCTTCAACGACTACATATGACATCCCTCTCACTGCTTCAGTTGTTCCCTTGTCTCCTTCATAAGCTCTCATGCACCAACTCACAATATGGTCACACATCATATTCATAAACATGTTACAAAGCTCAATCTTGCAGCTTCAATGACTGTAATGGAACCAACCTCTATTACACAAGCTCCCTTGTTCATAACATAACTTGAGATATGGTTTCTATGTCTTATGCTCCGAGTATTCTTGGATGTAAGTGGGTATTTATGATCAAACGATTACCCAACATAAGCATTGCCATGTACTTATCCCACCTTGTAGCTAGAGGTTTTCACTAGTTCTCCAACATAGACTTTCAATACATCTATAATCTATTATAGTGTTTGTAGTCAAGGTGACGACGATTCGTTTGATTTTGGGTGTGGCTATTTCACAAAATTGATATTTTTTTGTCACTTTGATGGTAAAATTTCACAATAAAAACTCATAAGTTATATTTTATATATATAGTATAAATTTAATAAATATTAATTAACGTTTATTTAAATATTAATTAAGAGTGGCCAGCGTTTGCAATATACTTAGAGGCGATTCATAATGAAAATGAAGAATTTGACGTATTTTCATTATCTTTAGTTTCTCGAAATGCAAATATCAAAGCGGATAAATTGGCTCGAACTGTTCGTAACCAGCCGCATCTTATCACTTATGTAAACAATATTCTTCAACATTGGTTTATCTGAGCCAATCTAATATAGCTGTTGACAAAAAAAAAAAAATATGTCATGGTTCCAATAATATTGTTATAGACGTTTTTGAAATAGTTTAAAAATGAAAAGAAACACATTTATTAATTAGAAAATTTAGGGGTTTCTTTTTGTAAAACAAATAAAATGGAGGGGAGAAATACAAATAAAAAAAAAAGATCTAATAGAGACCTAAAAATCGGAAACTAGCTTTTAGCTTTCGCCGAGAAACTTCCTTCTCCCTCTCTCTCCGCCATTTTTCGTTCCCTCTCGACGGTAAGCTATAGGCCTGGGAATCTGAACCGAACCGATTTGTCCGAACCGAACCGAACCGAGGTTTGGGCAAATCGGTTCGGTTATTGTTAATTGATCATACCGATCGGTAGGATTTTAAAATTGTTTCGGTTAACCGAGATTTTCGGTTCGGTTTGGGAGAACCGAACGGTTAACCGAGAAAATTACAACCTAACCAAACTATGGTATCTCTTCTCTTCTCCTCTTCTTCTTCGAGCTCTTCTCTTTTTCTTCTTCTCCAACTTTTACTGGAGCAAGATAAGCAAAGAAAATAACAATTAAAGACTTCCAAAAACCATCAACAGAAGAATCAAGAGACGTCAGAGATCTAAAGCTATTATTCCGGCGTTTGAAGTAGGTCGGATGTAACCCATAGAGCTTCAAATCCGCTTGAAGTACGTCAGAGATCTTTTTCTTCTTGCTTCTTCTTCCTCCTCCTTATCAAAAGATCTGAGGTTAAAGAGAAAACTTACTACTTTGACTTTGATTTCCCGATAGTCGAGCCGGCGGCGAAGAACATTAGGGTTGAATAAGGGGTGGGTGATGAAACACACGTTTCATTACTTTGTTGGCACATTATTTTCTGGGCTTGGCCCAACTATTTACTTAAAACATGGGCCGAATCTGTTATTTTTGTTTTTTTTTTCCATTAAAACAATAACCGAAGTATCCGAATTGCAGTAACCGAGAAAACCGTTTCCGAACCGAACCGAACCGAAATCTTAGTCGGTTCGATTCGGAATAGCTTTCAATTTCCGAATTAACCGAAAAACCGAGAAACCGAACCCGAATAAACCGAACGGGTCAAATTCCCAGGCCTAGTAAGCTATATCCACCCGTCGTCAATCGGAACTTTGCGAATTCTTTATCAATCGAATTTTCACTTTCCAAATCTGAGTTCTCTTCTCGTTTCGTCCTCTCTTCCTCGGTATCCACGGGTCTCGCTTTCGATTTCTAGGGTTTCGCTGTTCTGATCACAAGTTCTGCTTCAAGTTTTAAGCGATTCGATCACAAGTAGCTGTTTGTTCGGTACGTAATTCTAATTTTGACATCTCGAGGTATAGTCTCTGCGACTCTGATTTTGAACACGGCTAGAAGAAGCAGATTTAAGAGTTCGTCAAATTAGGATTTTGGTTTTTTTTTTTCTAACCACTGAAGTTAAAATTGGAACTGTCTGTATGGCGGCTGGGAGGAATTTAAGATATCCTGACCATGAATTGAGAGACCAGGAATCGAATTCTAGATTTTCCAGGCGGGATAGTGCTTATTCGAACGAGGATTATGACCATGTTAGGAACGGTGCTCTTGATAATGAAAAGGGACGGGTTAATAATCTCAGACACGTGGATAGCGGTAAAGATAGAGATAGATTTAGGCCTGGGGCTAGAAAGCAAGAGAACGAAATGGTTAATAGTGGGTTTCGGTTATCGAAAAGCAATCCAGGTAGTAGGGAAGTCTTACTTGATCGTGGTCCTAAAAGATGCGTGTTTTCAGCTCGGTCTGTGGACAGGGAACCAGGTGAGCTCTCTAGTGAGAGTGGGTCGGATGATTTGATTGAGTCGGAATCACTGGTGAAAAATAATGGAGGTGTAAAGGAGGTAGAGAATAGAGTTCAAAGTCCTGTAGAAAAGAAGAGAAAATTTTCACCAATAGTATGGGACAGAGATGACCATGATAGAAGTAATTTGAGCAGAAATGAAAAACCTGTGGACGTTACTCCTCTTCCTCCCCCACCACCACTAATTAAGAGGTCAAGCCAGTCACCTAGTGTCAGTTGTGGTGGTAATTCTCATTTTTCACCTGCAAAGAGTAACATGCATCAAGATCCCGTGGAAGTTGGTGTTTCTGCGGTTTCTGTGATTGCTTTATCACCTTCGGTAGAGATGTCTTCTCTGTGTGTGGTAGAACAATCATCAAATGCTGGGCAGGATGGCAAACAAGAGGATGCAACACACCTGGAAGAGGAGGAAAACATGCCAACAAGGCATATATCATCCTCTAGGTGGGCTGCTGGAAACAGTTCTCCAACTGATGAACGTGAAATAGTAGAAGAAGTGGGAGCAAGTAAAAGGAGGAAGAAACCATTTCCCGTGCAAGGGAGATTGCGCA